GCAGCATACAAAGTTAGGACTTATGGTTTTTTTTGAACGCATCCAATCAACTTAAAATTTCCACATATTTAGTGAGAGGCTGTGGCCATTGGAGTTCAATTTGTGTCGGGTGGAGACAGTTATCTACCTCAGACAATGAATAAAGGGTTTAGTACGATCATGGATCGACTGAAGTTAGACATTAACATCGTTGGATACCGACTTAGTGGTTTGTAAACTTTATACAGGTATATGAAAATATTAAAATAACCAAGGTAGTTTACGAGTCAATGATCACAATACAATAGACTGTATAATAGGCAAAAAGTATAAATCTTAATAGTGAGATAATAGGTATAATAGTTATGATAAGAATAATAAAGGTTTAAATCAATGTTTCATAATAGAAAGTAGGTCGAAAAATAGACATTGAGTCGGCTTTCCGAGAACTGCAACAGAGTCTCCAAGAGGCCCTAGAGGAGCCGAAGAGTCCTAGCCAGTCAGAGCATGATGGAGCTTTCTAGAATATCAACGTGGCGTGCTACTATTGGCCAGTAGCATAATATGTCTTTTAGCGGATTGGCTAAAATATGATGTTGATTTAACAAATGTTAACATCTATAAATACCCGTGTTTTCTGTACAAAAACGAACCTTGGAGTAAAGTATTTTCTCGCATACTTTGCGTTTTCTCTCTTGTGTTCAGGTCGCTGTATAGTTCTAGCTTGAGGGTTTCCAGAATAGCTTAGGAAACGAATATAGCGCTCAATTCGCAAGACTTATCAAAATGATATCTAATAAAATCACTATAACTATGCCTTAAGTAGCGTTCAAATAATTTTAAAAAAGTGAGGGAAAACAAAGGGTACAGAAAATAATAATAATAATAAGTGAACCAGTTTGTTAAGCTTAACTCGACCAATGAAGGGATAAAAGTGTCATAAATTCCTTATGAATAAAGAGCTTGGGTAGTTAGTTAGGATCCCAATAGATTCTGATATATACAAGAACAAAATAAATAGAAACATACATTACTTTGAATGGTTTAGCTCTATCTGTTACATAATCACTATTGACCGAATGTGATAGAACGGCGCTGAATATCATTTTTGTTATGCTTGTCACCGATCACGAATAAAGGTATTCACTAACCTGTTTAGTTATATGTCCGCTACAGCGTTTTCCATAAGAGCAGCCGAATTTGTTGATACACAACAGATACTAGGTTTGAGTTTTAGTGGAAACAATAACATTGGGATGTACGTACATTCAATTCAAAAATCACAAGTAAGATGAAACGTGCGTTCTGCATCCAACTGACAGTCATTATTCAATTTTACTAAAGTTTGTTGAAAATTCAGAGAAACAGAACATAAGAAGGAAGATTTCGAGAACCATATGAACAGAAATCCATGATTAGGTAAGAAGTAACCAAATCAAGAAATGATATCACGCACAAAGATGGTGACAGTTGAACTAAGCTATCTAGATGGGTATAGACTACTTGGTTAAGGTCTACGTGATTATCATCAACAATGATTATGTAGGTTCATAAGCCATTTGTCCCCTCAGAATCCTGGAGCCCATGTTCACCATTGGTTTGGAATCAGAGTTTCGCAACTCCCTCTAGGTGAGTCCTTCATATCCACCAACCCGACTAAAGCGTCAGATATTCGCTTTTCACCCTCCCGACTTCATAAACAACAACCCCACCGCGAGAAGGCAGTCAGTAGGACTTCTCTGATAGTGGCTGTATACGCGAGGCCATTTCTGAGTTTTTCGAGATGGAGAACTAACTCCTCCCTCCCTCGGCCATATCGGGGCTTTAGCGAATTCACCAAGCAACAGCTTCGTTCATTTAACTTCGAGCCACTTTCCTTCAAGTATATGAGGGTTAGTAAATGATAATATGTAATTTTTTTAAACGGTAGATTGAAGTTTCCTAATTTTTAAAATAGAAGAAACCGATTGTATAAATATTTATTTATATGGCTTATAAGACAGTGTTCATTCTATTTCTAACGATTACTTCTTACTTTAAATCATATTCTCAACTGTAAGTCATGTTTTGTATCTAAATTTCATACACTGACCTAAAATATTAATTGTGGATCAAACTCTTAACCACAAATCGAAAATCAAGCATCCTATTCTTGATCTTTATTTGAGAATTCTATTCAGTAAATTACTTAATAATTGAATTCACGAATCAATCTAAGATAGGTCAACATCGAAAACCTAGAAGTACTGCATGGCCGTTTCGTCATAGTATGGAACTCCTGACCGATGAGCATCCATGATCCCTCACTCGGGACTCGAACCCAGGACCTGCACCCATCCAGTGTTTCCAGGTTTTCAATGGTGGTCTAGCTTAGATCGATTCGTGAATTTAACTATTAAGAAAAATTGCTACAATCTCCACAAATCCCCTTTCTGACAGTAAATGATTCATCCATATCTCCTACATTCCGATAGGCTAAAAATAGGTTTTCATTTTCCCAAGGTCACTTCATCGGTAACTGGATACTGTTAACGGTAAAGTATACTTTTAAATATAGTTGTCAAATATGAACTGATAAAGAAAAATCAAGAGAATATAACTATTTATTGTGAAGAATAAATACATTGACTGATATAAATATTGTGACACCGACTATATGCGAAAACTTGATTCGAGATGCACATTTTTACTAGATTTTTATTGAAAGAAGTGTTTATTTTCATAGTGACAAGTAATTTATAGTTACACTATTCTTGTATATATGAATTAAGAACGTTACTTCACCAAATACATGATTTACGCGAACTGATTTCCTTTGATTAATGAATATGTTTTCTGAAATCTGTTCAGTTTAGGATTCTGAAATTGAGAGGACGAAAAGCAAATTTCCGACGCTTTAACCAGGTCGGCGGACACGGAGGGTCCAACTAGGGGAGTTGGAAAAATCTCATTCCAAACCAATGGTGCACATGAGCTACGGTATTCTGGGGGGACAAGTGGCATATGAACCTATTGTTGGTCACCGGCTACCATGAGACTGCATCTCCTAACGTTGTTCCACTGACTTGTGTAAGTCGAAGGCTCAGGGAATGGCCGCTTATGAAAATCACCTGTTTCGGTTTGGGTACCCGGGCAGAATCATAGCGCTCACACAAACCAATGATAACTACTACTGGCTTCATTGTTATTGTATGGCATATATGTATTTGGTGCCCCCTTGTACCAATGTTCAAATAAATAAATAAATAGGATTCTGAAGACTTGATCATGCATGAATAAATTCAATTGATCCCGTAAGGAAAAGAAAAGATTAAGAAGTTATAAACTACTCCTATGTTGTTTACAATTAAACAGAAATATGTCAAAACTCTAGATCGAAAGAACGTTGAAAATGCTAAGGAATTTGTAAAAGCGTAGGATTCTCATTTATCGGTAATGAATAGGTAGACCGATTCATTTTAACAACTTTGACGAAAGAGGGCAATCAGTCACATGGTTAGAGGTCAGCTGAACACGATAATCAATAGGAATGAGGATAGCGGTACCTAAAAGCACAACCATTTATAAAGAATTAGATTAGGAGAAACTACGTTAATGTATGTGGAATAACTAAACAACTCATTTCCATATCAACTAGGCGTTTGATGGTGTTGTTCAGAATGATATACCATTCAATCGCCAAGCTTAAAAACTTAACAACGCAAAAAACGAATAATTGCAGAAGAATGTTGCAATTACACTGACTATATATATATATAATAAGCCTAGTAATGCATTACTCATATAAGCATGAATTTTCAAACTGAAAACAAAGTGCTCAGGAATTGTTTTCACTCAAATCATACTACTCGTAAGTAACACAGGACATTAAACACTAAAAAAAATACATATAGGCATTTTGGATAGGTGATGTGCGTGTGAATGTGAGTTTATTTGTGTGCAATCACTGGAACAATCTAGGTGTGCAGGGTATACACATGACCATAAAGTCATGCGTGTAAACACACACACACACTATGGAACATTACGAAAGAATATTAATCGTAATTGCTAACAAAGTTGCATGCTGAACTGAGAAAAGGAATTAAACTAAGCCGAGAAACTTATGTTTTCAGTTCCATAAGACAATTGATGATTAAGGATAAAACGGAAGCAGAAATCGAGAGAAATTGTAAAAGCATTAGAGATAATTTGAGTTTTGATTTTAAAAAAAAATGCTCGGCATAAATACACGACTATCATCTTTATGTGTGTGTGTGTGTGTGTGTGCAGTTAAAATTTACATACTATTTACAAATGAGAAAAGTTTTGTGTGAAGATGTAAAGGGGAAAAACAGAAACATAATTCTATACCGACAACGGTAACTGAAATTTTGCAAAAAGAATCTGAGAGAGAGAGAGAGAGAGGAAAAGAGGAATACAATGAAGAAGAGCATGAAAATGAAATAAACGAGATGGTGATAAAGAGAAACAACCTCTAGCACACAAAAACTATTGGACACACCAGTGAGCAAACGCAGTGATTAAAAAAACTCACCAAACAAATAGACATAAAGCTAACTATTGGGACATTAAACATTGTCATCTTTTTTTATTCCGTATAATAAAACAGAATAATAGAGAGCCAGTTGGTGAATAAATTGTACAAAATAGATTTTACAAAAAAATGATCAAATAAATAGCATTATTGAGTTGCTATATGTACTATAAAATAAAAAAAACGTGTAATCAAGTCATCATCATCATCATGATTGGTATTGGCGATAGGGGAGAAGAATCAAAGAAAACTCATGTAAACAGAAAATCGATAAACCGACGACATCAACAACACTAATAACAAATAGGATATATATACTGTGTGTGTGTGTGTGAAAAACGAGATTTTGTATCGCTTCTACCCAACTCTGTATATGAAGAAATTGATATACATGTAAAAAAAAATACATACATACATTCCATGCATGAATACATACACAGACAGACGATGATAACGACAACAATGTCAACGGGAATAATAATTATTATTTTCTTCCTGTAACTTTCTTTCGTGAAAATATACGTGAACAAGGTTTTAATCGATTACGTGTTCTTGGTAAAGTTCCAGTAGATTGAATAGAAATATCATCTATTTGAATTTTCGGTAATGATGATGATGTGATTTCAACAGTTGAAGTTAATTCTGTAGCACTATTCACATTTCTATAATAAATAGTATTAGAAGATGAAGAAGTAGAATTGGTCGTTGAAACAACTGGTGAATAACTATTATTATTATTATTATTATTATTATTATTATTATTATTATTATTAGTAGTAGTAGTAGTAGTAGTAGTAGTATTAGTAGTAGTTTGAGAATTATTTGAAGCATCTTTTTTAAATCGTATACTTTTTATTCGATTACGAAATGAATTGAATGGATTGAAAAACCATTGATTGAATCTATTCAAATGATTAGTATTAGTTGAATGATAATCTCTTTTCATAAATTGTTCTTGTCTATTCAATGTTGAATTCATATGAGTTTGATCAAAATCTATATTCAAATGATTAGATAATTGATCAGGATCAATAGCAATGATATTGGTAGATTTCTGATGTGGTTGTTGTTGTTTTGAACAAGTGAAATTAAGAAAATCTTTTGGTATACTATTAATAGGTCGTAAACCATAATGCCAAGTTTTTTGATTTAATGTATCATTACTATTGTTGTTATTATGATTATTATCATTATTTATATTGACACTGTTCTGCATTTGTCGAGGTACATTTAAATCGGATGGAATGAATGCTATAGGACCTGGTAGACTACCAGTTCGATTTGTTACATTGGGATTTATTGCAAATTTAGGTAGTCTGTAAGTAGTAGGAATAGAAATTGGTAAATCCGCTGGAGAAGCTGGAGGTTCCGATACATCATTCATATTATTGATAGGTTGTATAGCTTCATACACTGGAACACCAAGATCTAGACACCAATATGGTTGTGGTGTCATATTACTTTTTAAAGATTTTTCTCGTTTAGATTGATGAGTAGTTAATTGTTGTTGATCTGATGGTAAAAAGTAATAGTGTGACTGACCATTATTATTATTATTATTATTATTATTATTATTATCAACATTATCTGGAACGTTGTCAATCGGATGACATATATTTCCAGATCGACGACTAGTTTCTTCTGTTAAATGAATAGGGCTAGTAGAGTGTAAGTAATTCATTGAAAGATTATTATATACATATGGATAATTTGTGATTGTCGAATCAGGTTCCATTCGTGAACCAATACCTATTGGAGAGCAGATAAAGACAAAGTGTAAACTTTGACAATTCATTAATGTCTCTTGAATGAGATCATGAATCGAGCGACATCAGACCACCACTGAAAACCTGGAAACACTGGGTAGCCGTTTCGTCCTAGCATGGGACTCCTCAGCAGTGCGTATCCACGATCCCGTACGCAGGATTGAAACCCAGGACCTTCAGTCGGACGAAACGACCGTCTAGTGCTTCCAGGTTTTTAATGGTGGTCTAACATCGATTGATTCATGAATCAATCAAGAATTTAACAATCTCCACTACCTCATACTGATAATTCATTAATTATTTGAGCATTCAAAATCAATGGTATTAGTATTTTCTTCGTTCAAATTCGGTTGGTTAAAAAAGGTAAGATAAAAACGACACCAATTCCTTCTGTTTTTTAAGTTTTGCACTTTCGCGGCATTCATGTTAAGACTTATTAGTTGATCAATTTAAACAATCAGAAAATACAAAGTTTAACAAACAGAATTCATATACACATTGAACAAGTCAGTAACTACCTGGACTTATTAGCTAGGTAGTGGATAACGTGTTAAATGTTTGAAGTAAAAGATCTTGGATTTAAGTCTTATAATGTGAATATTAACCATATGGGGAGATCCAGAGATATACCCAGAGATGACGATCAAATGCATGTCATACATTCTACTGTTAAAAAAATATTTGGATTTAATCGATATAGATTACAGTTAGAATTATGTCAGTTTGCTTCCATGTAACAGTAAAGTTTGTTTATTAGAGTAATGCTAATAATTTAGAATAAGAAAATATCCACTTCTGAGCGCATATTTCAAAGGTTTCTAGATTTCATATCTGTCACAACAAAACACACTTCATGAGATCAATGAGTAAAATAATAAGTAGTTGAGTGTTAAAGTATGAAAAACTAAATTAAGCGACAATTGAATTTCGAACTAAATTTCCCGCATCGATGTATCATCAGGGGTTAGATTTGTTTATCCATGTTTACTCGTGTACAGTTGAAAAAAGTTCACAAGAATGGTCTCGAATGTTAAATTATTTTTAAAAAAATGGAACTACTAGATAGATGTTTTGTCCTAGTATTGAACTCCGCCTCAGCAGCAGTGCACATCCATGACTCCATCGCTGGGTATCAAAGACAAGACCTTAGTGATATGGAGAGCCGACCAGAAGGAGCAAAAGGTTGATGGTAATCAGAAGTGACCTAAAGGTCACTAATAATAAGTTAAATAGGATATTGAACAGAAAATTTATTCTAACATTACATAGTTTGTGCTTAGGATCCTTTACTATAATAAAAAATTTGGCATTGAATAAGGCGATTTTTAATGCCCGTGAGTAGAAGAAATCATATTAGAGTGAATATTCGTCAACCTATCTCATGAATTTTCATTGGACAGTAGTTTAACCTCAACAATGCTCATCCACGACACTACCACTTGGGATCAAACACATGACCTTTGGTTTTACTCACAAGGAAGACGTTTGGACAATATTGCGAATCGATTGACTTTAGACTTGTTCACCATTGGATCCTGGATTAGTGGTCCAGAGGTTAAGTAATCTTAGACCTAAGTGTTGTGACGTGCAGTGTCCATTATCTGATAGATGGTGTGCCACGTGTTAAGATCACCTCTACACATGAAGAACATCTCCAAGATTGTAAACAGATTATTAAATCCGACAGAAACAAGTGTAGCCTACTAATAATTTAATGAGCCATAAGAAGTAGCCAAACGAGAAGGTCACTTTTAGTGGAGTTTTGTTCTCTGAGCTGGATGGTTTGGTCATAAAGCTTTCATCTTTCTTCTGAACGACATCATCAGCACAAACTTCAGATAGATAGAACTTCACCAAAATCATCCACCTGAGCTACAAATCTTCTCCACCATCTCAAGAAGGTCACTTGATGACAATCGTAAAATGACCTGAAAGACAACTTTATATTATTGGTCAAAAATGGAACGATTTTCTAAGAGGTAGAAACGTATATTTATATAAATGAGTATCTATGCATATTATTTGGTAAACCAATAGACTTTCTCTCCCACTCTTATCTTCTCGCTCAAGTAGACAGCCTAGGGGGGGGGAGTCAATGCGTAGCATATTATGTATCAGTATCAGATCTCAGAAACCGTATATCATAACACTTGGAAAATCTTTACAATAAACAGTATTCAGGTAAAGGGACACAATAACAAACATTTACACAATAAAATGTATCAACTGAGAGAGGCAGTATATTGTTAAACAAAATGATATATCTTCACTTATATAAATATATGTAAGCAACTATGGAGATGAGTTCAACTGAGAAAATGTTGAAATATTATTAAACAGAGGAAACACAAAGAAGGTCATACAATTTTTATAATCCTGACATTCTAATCAAGCATCGATCAATTGACATAAAGGAATTGACCAAGCTTATCATCTAAAAAGAAAAACGGTAAATAATTGAAAGCTCGGATATAGGTTTACGGATGGGAACAGTTAAAACAAACAGAAAAAAATAACGACTACATAATTATAGACAAAACAGGCTGCTAGTCACAGTCGTGAAAGAATCCTAGTATCTTGTCACTCTTTGAAATATGCGCTGATAATGTTGATATTGTCTAGAAAGACAATGAAAACTTTAAGACTAGACCATCCAGCCTAGAGAACACAACACACCACCGAAATATTTATCCTGAACAACGAATATTCTCCATCATAAACAGACATAATAGAAAGAATAGGTGACCTTGACGTTCCAGTAGGTCATCGCAGGAAATTCGGCGTTCAAAGAAAAGATTATACCATTTTACACAGTAGATGATAATGACCGATTTGAAAAAGGCAAAATAAAAGCTTGAGATTTTACGTCGTTTTAAAAAACATACTACTTACAAAGTAGTAAGTAGTCGTTTAAACGCATGTATAAAAAAGAAACAAGAATTTTGATCTGAATACTGTGTAATTACCTAAGTTGGCCAGCTGTTTTTCAACATTGGAATATTGTAAACATGCTTCAGGTGAATAGTAAAAACTAGACATATCTTCTGGTCTACTATACTCTTCATAGTCATCCAAATCATGAAATACCTAAATACAAAATATGGTAGGGAAAAAAGCAGTATAGTAAGATGAATAAAATGTATAAATGATATTGTGTTACTATGACTATTGAGTGGAAAGTGTTCAATTCTGTCTAATATAAGCACATCAGACAATGTTCCGAGCAAGCCTATGATTCCTTTATACGGGTACTTGAGTAATAGTGTCAAACAGAAAACGTTTGGGACCAAAATGGATGCTTGGTCATTCGTTATTAAACATATACAAAAGTGATTTAAGTTTGATTTCTTTAATATGGTCGTCAACGGATCTAAAGACAGATTATAAAGCGATCTTTGCCGATAATATACAATGTGAACGTTATCCAATATTTGTATACTGTTTATGTTCATATACCGCAAAGGCGACCATCTATCTACCGGAATCCAGGATCAGGATAGCCTGTGATACCTTTGAACTTGATGCGATGCCCACACCAAGTAGGCCACGCGAATTGGCAACCAAGGGTCCAGATACATGGAAAGTAGATTGCGCCAGTCCTCTATATTGACTGGGTAATGTCAGGTTAATGACTACACTTGGATTTTGTATCCAAGTTTCAGAAACTCAGAAACAATATAGCTGATCATCTTTAGTTAAGTAAAAATTCAAACTAAGAAGAAGGAGAGAAATAGCATTGAATGTCAAAAAAGGTGTGTCGATTAAAGTAGAGATACCATTATCAATACAGCGGCATGAGATGAGTAAGAGGGAAAATAATAATGATATAAACAGTGATAGAACTATACAGTTTACATCACGGATTGACTTTCGTTAGACAGTCATTGAAAACCAGGAGGCTATTTCGTTAAGGGCTTGTCACAAGAACTGAAGCTCCTCGATTCGATTCCAGGTAGAGTCGTAAACATGTGCTTCCAGGAGGAGAGTCCCATACTAGAGAGTAAACAACTCCGCAATGCTCCCTGCTTTTCATCCTTACTTAATCAAGATCAGTTCGTAATGCAAACTACGAAATCCAACAATTTCAATAAATCCGTAAATACTAATAGCAATCACTTGCTAACTGGTAAGTAATGTCGACAGGTAATTTCTGAAGTTCTAGTGAGTAACTGTGACCATCGGTATTCAACTATTCTGAAAATCACTGAACAGACGTTTTATTCTTAATAAAGGCTCACCAGTAATAAATAACCATAACAGTACATTGGATCAAGTTCAATTTGACCCAGTTGAGAGTAAAACAATTGTTACCCATTTAAGAAACTGAACGGAAATAGAAACATACGTACATAGAGACTACAATTAAGACAGACGAACCAATGGAACACCAGATAATAACTGATTAATATATCATGGTTAGTGAGATACCTAAAGTTATTCGGCTTAATTCTACACCATTAGTAACATGTGTATACCAACTCTGTCAGTTTATTCAAGCATTCACAATCTGAATAGTAAGGAGATTATCGTCGTTTAACTAAAACCACAAAATATTTCTTACAGACAATGAACTTAGTTAGTGACTAAAAATGATCATTGTTGATAAGTGCTAAATTGGAAGTAAGTAACATATTCTTATTCATGTGACTGATTGGATCAGTTAGTCAAATGAAACGTAGAAGGTTGTGGCATATTTGTGCATCAGTTCAATTTCTCATAGTACATTAGCACAGCGAGACGAAATTATCAGAGGATATCCCAGGGTAGTAAAGGTAGTAACAGTATTAGCGAAACGAAAAAGTTAGAGTTTAAGAAAGAACAAAGGGTGAATACACCTAAGCCATTGAGAACGACATTGAGTAATGTCGCGTAAAGTCCCCGGTCATTATTTACGATAGTCACGTAGATCCCAATTAAGTAGTCTATACATAACTACTTAAATCAGTCTAACAGTCAGTGTCTTTATATGTTGCTAGGTCTTAGTTTGGCTGGCCATAATCCTTTCCCAACCTGCTCCTACAAGAGCCAATATTGCGGTGGTTGGGCATTATGTTGCACATGTCCCAATCAACTCAGTTGATGGAGATTTACTACGTCATCAATCGATTCGGCATCTTTGCATAGTATCCTAACCCACACCCTGATATTATTTACTCGGTAGGGTTAGGAATGGGTACTAGGTAAATTGAATATTATTATTATTATTAGAAATGAAAGAAATTCCCCTACTTTTTATTCAACACCTACCTTTAAACGATCAATCACTGAGATCGGTGCAATACCATCATGATTATTAAAAAAGTGTTCATCCTTATCACTGATAATCATATTTGATAAAGATGTTTGTATATCATTATCATTACTACTAGTAAATGTTTGATTTGGTGAATTATTGAAAATTTCATCTATATCAAATATTCTAGCTCCAGTATCATCAATATGTGGTAGAGGATATTCAGAATGACATCGACGTAGATAAATTAATGGATCAAGCCAACAGATTATACCACGTTGTTGTTGTTGATGATGTTGTCGTTTATGATAATGAATTAATGTATGTGTTGGTGTTTCATTATTTGACAATTGTTGATTATGTGATAATTCATTGCGTAATTTCATTTTAATTTTTTCCACAGACATTGGTGTTGGTGGATCTTGTATATACCAAGTTTGTTGACGAATTTGCAATAAAGTTAAACGTTTCTATTGACAGTAAAACAAATAAATTGTTAAAAATTTATTTATTTATTTACTTCAACACATAAATATTAGTACAAGAGGGCACCAAATATATATGCGCCACACCATATTTGTGTGTGTGGGCTGTGATACTGCCCGGGTGCCCAAACCGAAGCAGGTGGTTTTCTTAAGGAGCCACACCCCGAGCCTTTGACCTAAAGGTCTGACCCACAAGGCAGTGAAGCATCGTGAGGAGATGCATTCCCATGGTAGCCGGTGACTAACGACTGGTTCATACGCCATTTGTTCTCTCAAGATCCTGGAGCCAATGTGCACCATTGGTTTGGGATCCGGTTAAAGCGCCAGATATTCACTTTTCGTCCTCTCAATTTCGTAAACAACACCCCCGCCACAAGAAGGCAGTGAGTAGGACTTCCCTGGCAGAGGCTGTATACGCGTGGCCGTGTGAGAGCATTTCGAGAGGGAGAACGGGCCCACCCCACTCTCGGCCATACCATGGCATTTGGGGGCAAAAATCATAATATTATTGATTTGTAAGAAAATGTTCAATTTTCAATTAATCAACCAATTACCATACATTTCTCTGATCTCATTTATCAGTATTGATATCACTGATTTCTCAAATATAAGGTCTATTTACTTTATTTTGAGCCACAAACACTTAATCTGTACTTAAAGATTGGTGATATTCAACGAATTCTCTAACCACCAAAATAGTTGTGTATGGGGTTTGAACTTGCTTGATCACAGCAAGTTATTCTAACGTGTTGGTAGAGTTTTCTGGCTGTCATGATTGCTCAATCAAGTTTCATATTGACTGAAACATTTGTCCTTTTAGGTTATACTAAACCAGACAGGTTGGTTGGAGAGTGATAAAATTAGGACTGGTAAATTAAAGTCACGAAGAGGAAAATGCTCCACACACTCAGGGAGTTGCTCTAATGCTGTCCAAAGTAGCACGAAATGCACTTGTAGGATGGGAATCCCACGGATCCAGAATCATCAAAGCATCATTCAAAACAAAGAAGGAGGGGATCTTAATGAATATTATCCAATGTTATGCACCCACCAATGATAGCAACGACGACATTAAAGATCAGTTCTACGAGCGGCTGCAGTCAGTCATTGAGAAATGCCCAAGAAAGGACCTCACCATTCTAATGGGAGATCTAAATGCCAAAGTCGGAATAGACAACATCGGATATGAAGATATTATGGGGCAACATGGACTGGGAGAGAGGAAAGAAAATGGAGAAAGATTTGCAAATTTGTGTGCATTCAACAAATTAGTCATAGGAGGCACAATATTTCCACACAAGCGTATACACAAGGCTACATGGATCTCACCGGACCACACTACAGAGAACCAGATAGACCATATTTGCATCAACAAAAAATTCCGAAGGACAATGGAAGATGTGAGAACCAGGAGAGGAGCTGACGTAGCTTCAGATCACCACCTAGTTGTAGCCAATTTGAAACTGAAGCTAAAAAAGAACTGGACAAGTGGACAAACAGCAATACAAAGGTTCAATACAGCCTTCCTTCGAGATATTGACAAACTCAATGAATTCAAGATAGCTCTCAACAACAGGTTCCAAGCCTTACAAGATCTACTGAAAGAAGAAGAAACTACTATGGAGGACAACTGGAAAAGCATCAAGGAAGCATTAACTTCAACGTGTCAAGAGGTTCTCGGTCTAAAGAAATACCATCATAAGGAGTGGATCTCTACAGAAACACTGTACAAGATCAAAGAAAGGTAGAACAAGAAGGCAGCAATAAACAACAGCCGAACACGAGCAGAGAAAGTCCAAGCACAAGCTGAATACATAGAAGCAAACAAGCAAGTGAAGAGGAGCATTAGAGCTGACAAGAAGAAATACGTGGAAGAATTAGCAACGACGGCAGAAAAAGCTGCTAGAGAAGGAAATATGAGACAACTTTACGATACAACGAAGAAACTAGCAGGGAAATACAATAAACCAGAGAGGCCGGTCAAAGACAAGGAAGGCAAGCCAATCACTGAAATTCAACAACAGCGTAACAGATGGGTAGAATACTTTGAGGAACTCCTGAATAGGCCGGCTCCTATGAATCCACCGAACATCGAAGCAGCACACACAGATCTTCCTATAGATGTCAACCCACCAACGACGGAAGAAATTAGAGCGGCCGTCAGACAAATCAAGAACGGGAAAGCAGCAGGACCCGACAACATACCAGCTGAAGCACTGAAATCAGACGTCGAAGTAACCACAAGCATGCTTTACCCTCTATTCAAAAAGATTTGGGAGGAGGAACAAGTGCCAATGGACTGGAAAGAAGGGCACCTCGTCAAGATTCCAAAGAAAGGAGATCTGAGCAAATGTGAAAACTACAGAGGCATAACACTACTGTCAATACCAGGGAAGGTCTTCAACAGAGTTTTGCTGAACCGGATGAAGGATGCAGTAGACGCCCAACTTCGAGATCAACAAGCTGGATTCCGTAAGGATCGGTCGTGCACAGACCAAATTGCAACACTACGGATCATCGTCGAACAATCGGTTGAGTGGAACTCGTCACTATACATTAACTTCATTGATTATGAAAAGGCATTTGACAGTGTAGATAGGAGGACATTATGGAAACTTCTTCGACACTACGGAGTTCCTGAGAAGATTATCAATATTATCCGGAACTCATACGACGGACTACAGTGCAAGGTCGTGCATGGAGGACAGCTGACAGATGCATTCCAAGTAAGGACCGGGGTCAGACAAGGCTGTTTACTCTCTCCCTTTCTCTTTCTTCTGGTGGTCGACTGGATTATGAAGACCTCGACATCTGAAGGAAAACACGGAATACAATGGACAGCTCAGAACCAATTAGACGATCTGGACTTCGCAGATGACCTAGCTCTTATATCACGTACACACGAACAGATGCAGATGAAGACAGCCAGTGTAGCAGCAGTCTCTGCATCAGTAGGCCTCAGTATACACAAAGGGAAAACGAAGGTCCTCAAATTCAAAGCGGAAAACAGAAATCCAATCACTCTTGATGGCGAAACTCTGGAAGATGTAGAATCCTTCACATACCTGGGAAGCATCGTCGATGGACAAGGAGGTTCAGATGCAGACGTAAAGGCGAGGATTGGCAAAGCAAGGGCCGCATTCCTACAATTGAAGAACATATGGAATTCAAAACAACTTTCAACCAATATCAAAGTGAGAATCTTCAATACGAACGTCAAGGCAGTTCTACTGTATGCAGCTGAAACTTGGAGAACTACAACAACCACCATCAAGAAAGTACAAGTATTTATAAATAGCTGTCTACGCAAGATACTCAACATCCATTGGCCAGATACCATCAGCAATAGCCTTCTGTGGGAGAGAACAAACCAACTTCCAGCTGAAGAGGAAATTAGGAGAAGACGATGGAAATGGATAGGACATACATTACGCAAATCGTCAAACTGTATCACGAGACAAGCCCTAACTTGGAATCCTGAAGGGAAGCGGAAAAGAGGAAGGCCAAAGAACACATTACGTCGGATAATAGAAGCAGATATGAAAAGGATGAATTACGACTGGAAGGAGCTGGAAAGGATTGCCCAGGACAGGGTTGGATGGAGAATGCTGGTGAGCGGCCTATGCTCCTTCACGAGGAGTAACAGGCGTAAGTAAGTAAGTAAGTAAGTAAATTAAAGTCTGATAGTGAGGTCGTGCAACTGACTGTATTGAGGTATGATGGCAGTATGTGTGGTTCAAACAACCAGCATCTAGAACAACACTGTCTTCTCACAAACGAATGACGGAGTTAGAAATGGTCAAACCTCAAAAACGAAACACTTCACCTTGGCTTGCAAATTATCTATCGCCGATAGTAAGGCCTTTCTAGGTATAAAACTGACTCATTTAAAACTATTTTTTTACGAAAATTTCGTGTGCGATCATTCTCAAGCTGTTGTCTTCTGAGTATTGTGGTTACATTTTCAGGTATCCAAAATCACTACTACTAATTCAAATTCATTATCAAGTACTTCGAAAAAAGTTCTCCTATGGAGTGTAACCAACCAGAAAATGACTACAAAACTTAAACACAAATCATCTACTGATTACAAATCGAGTGGTTTAATAATGAAACCATTATTTTATAATTTAACTCATACTATTAAAATTAGATAGTTGAGGAACAGTATGGTAATATGATGGCTTACAGGAGCGTACAAGAACTTTCATATTTTATTAATCGGTTATATGAGCAATAATTAATTCTAATAGTTGAAATCAAGTCGATCTAAGCTAGGCCATGATTGAAAACCTGGACGAATTGGAGGGCCGTTTCGTCTTAGCGCGGGACTCCTCAGCAGTGTGCATTCATGACCCCGCACGCGTGACTCGGACTCAGGAGCATCTATCTCGTGCGCGAACGCTTAACCTTTTAACTTCTAGTAATGAGCCAAGTCAAACAATTGTGTATGTGCTTAATGTAGGCTGCAAAAAAGTTAGGAGTGGGGGTACCAAAAAGTCACCAACTCATACTGGTCTTAGTCGTGTTGGTGGTAGATGGTAAATTCTTGATCGTAACACGGGTAGTATGCTCTTAATCGACGGTTGGAGCTGTTGGATGTCGTTTACAAATTGACATTTTGCATCTTATGTCCAGCTTTCCATTAACATGGTACCTTTTACACACCTTCTATTGCTTTACTAATATAGTCAATGTGGCGACTTTCATACCAATGACCCGGTGTCTCACGGTTAAGTTTGCGCGCAAGACAGAAGGTCCTGGGTTAGGGTCCCACATGCGGGATCGTGGATGGACACTGATGTGAAGTCTTATGCCGGGACGAAACGGCCTTCCCGGTTCTCGATGGTCGTCTAGCTTAGATCCGTTCGTGAATTCAATGACATCCAACAACTGACATAACCTTATACTAATAATTTGTAAAATTAAACTATGATTGCTCTACGACATTAAACATATAAGTGATTAGGCCTGAATTTGCTCTGAAATAAACATAGTGGATTTCAATGCTCGAGAAAATTTTTTTGGTCTTTTCAAAAATCTAAAAACGTTTGATCCACAGTTTAATTTGTTTTTGTATTCCTTCGACATTGGAGACAAGCTCGTAACCTGAACACGACTGGTCGAAAAAGAGCCTATGAAAAATTGTCAACCTGAAGTGGTGTTCATCAGGGTTGCTCATTTTTTCCGTCTCTATTCAGCTTTATCAAAGACATCTTTTTAAAGAAAACGCTCTCATCATCAAGCTTTCCAAGACTTGGTCGTCTACCGAGAAATTCACTTTTTGACTTAGAATACACACATGATTTAGACCTATTATGTGAAAATGCTGGCAAAATGCAGAATCTATGAGTCCTTTGAATGACAATCTAAGCGTATTTGGAATGCCATTTATACCATGATTGTGTCTAAAGTATCATTTCTTATCTGAAGTGTGTTGTGGTTCGATAATTCGTGCATATAAGCCAATGAGTGTTTGAGATAAATGTTGAGTGGTTGAAATATAATAATAGAAGCTTGGCCAGTATCTTTTCCTATTCAAACTCAAGGCTGGGAATAAATAGGCCAATACGGAGTGAAGCGTACTTTAGCGTCGGCTAAAGGTTATTCGTGTCTATTGGATCATGTTATTGGTCAAGACATAGTGAGTACACTACAGACTGTAGATGGAATAGAACAGGCGAGAGTAGAGAAATGATAATCGAAATTCTGATTGACAAATCTAGCAAATGATATCAATTAAAGTCTAAAACATAACACAAAAATACTTAGTAAAGGTATACTTTGTTGACAAGTCAATCAAATTTAAGATAATGGGTTTTTGGATTTTAGGGAGGAACGATTACTATTATTAAGACTAATGTAAGAGCTCATCAATGTTTAGTTACTACGACAAACACAGGAAGATTAAAGATAATAGTGATCACTATTTGTGAATTTATGAAAATAACTAAATAATTCTTGATATATAGAAATAAAGAACCAACTGTACAAATATTTATCTACATGGTTAAAAGTGAATTTTTCCATTTTATTCCTAACCTAGGACTCGTAATCATAAGCCTAACTATTGATCTTAACTCTAACTCTTAACTATAGATTTTAATTCAGCAAAAGTATAGTATAATGATAGCATTGAGTTAACCAGTTAGAAAGTAACGCCTCATTTATTTTACGCGAAACTTGAAGTGCGGTGAGGAGTATTTACTTAAGCTTATTGCCCTTCATGGAAAAGCATAGGTCATCTACCAGGATTCACTGTCGAACTCTGTTTTGGGAAATACTTTCGTAGTGAGGGGTAACTTGTGTGTTATCATTGACGAAGTGAAAACTGGAAATATTTAGTTATTAAAATGCTTGGAATCAGTAGTATACGAAAGATACTAGAAGATTCTTATTTAAATATCTGTATACACTCTAATATTTTCGCTACTGAATCTTTGTTGTTCCAATTATTGAAACATACATGTTATTATACAAATATTCGTCAAGATTAGAACAAATAGTTTGACAGAAATTGGGCGCCGAGTATAGAGAAGTCATTATATGTCTGGACGAAACATTGGAATTATTTAAATTTCAATCGCTGAGATTATTTCAAATATAATTTTCACATATAATACATGTCATTAGTTCCAAATTTATGTTCTGATATGAAAAGAGTTGAATGAAGTATCTTAGTCAAGGAATACTAGACAATAGAAGTGTATAGCAAATAAATGTATACAACAAACCATAATTCAAACAAGAAATAAACACTGATATGGAGATTTGAAAATAAATAAACAAACAAACTTGCTTTAGGATCTTTCTGCATCATTTTCCGAATCAAATCTGATGCATTGGTTGATACATATCCTGGTATTGTATAATCTCCTTTAACAATTGCTTCAAATATTTGTAGTACATTTTGACATGAAAATGGTACATGACCAGTAAGCATGAAATAAAGTGTTACACCAGCACTGTAAACATCTAACTTAGTACCATCAAATATTGATTGTACACCTTTGGCTACTTCTGGAGGTTGTACAGCTGGTGTAGTTTGACCACCACTAACCTAAAATTATACAAGAAATTCAATATACAATACACTAGATGAATCTTAAGATTAAGTGATATTGTTAATTTTTGTTTTCATCTTCCGAAGATATTTACATGTTTCCCCCATCCACTTTGTGCTACTTATAATTATTTAGTAGCTTATATTATATCTCCAACTACTTTGTGACTTGGATATTGTAGAGGAACGTGTAGTAGTATTACGTTGTCACAATAAATTAACTATCCTGTGTATTAGTACTTTTATTTCAATGTTATAACTCGTTATTTACTTGTAGTAATGTTTACTTTATCAGTATCGAGTCTTGTGGGTGACTTCCTGAAATTTTACGCGTTTTGAATAGAATATTTAATTACTGGTATTTCCTGAATGTTACAGACACTTGTACTGTCTCATGAATATTTTATCTAGGGAGTATTCGTGTTAACATGTATTTATTGATCAAAAGAGAATGTGAGTGATGAGATATCAGGGAGATTTTATCGTATTCAACTGTAGAGATCCGATTATCCCATCGCCAATACAGTCAAATGGATTAATCAAAATGTTCTCCGCATTATCATGACCTGGGAAAATTTACCTCTTGATGTCTAGATCTAATTTCACGTGACATTAAAGAATATGACTTCTGTTTACAGTATGAGTTACGGTTTTATTCTACGATCACAACGTATGTGTAACCCTTTGTATGGAAAATAACTAGTCTTCCCTTGGAGGTTGTTAAATTAGTGTAAAGATGCCTGTAAATTCATCGAGTAAATTTCTATCCAATATTGTTCCAAGTAGTAATTTAAACATGTAGACATTGGTCTGACAGGAAGCATGTAAATACATGCCTGTTGAAGTATTAAAATGGATATGTTCTATATCTCCAATAATTCAAAGCTAAACTCTAAAATTTTCTACAATTACTTCAGAAAAATGAGTAACAATAATACTATTCGAGGGTAATCAGGCATTTTACAATTGCCAATATCGAAATTTCACCCATAAGCTACATTTATATTACTTATACCTTTATTGTCTAACCCATACTACTTATAAATACCAAGTAGTTAGATATGCATATATTCAACAATTTCTACACTATATGAATTGTAACGAGTGATATTAAGTTTGTGTGTAACGAACCTCTCTTATCTTTCCTTATCAATGCGTTGGTTCAGTTTCATGCTAAAATATTATACTCTTTAAAACCTTGTTTACTGATAAGAATATGTGTATTCTCGAATTGTAGTGTTCAATTCACATTTTCAATGATCATGCTTGTGAAACAAAAATATCGTGGAGACTATCCTTTACACATTACAGATGGGTTATCAAAAGTTATTACAATAGATGAACGATTAATGTACACTCTACTTTATAATTACTCAAATATTTATCAACTAATTTTCTTGCTTAAAACACAAGGTAAGTAACTGTAGGAATATTCAATTGCTAAGCTCAGTTCCAGGTATATCCATAGATAATCCATATTGATTTAGGCAAATAAACTAGTTGAACAATGCAGACGATAAATAATTTTTCATACTGTCTGTCTAATTATCACATTCTAGATAATTTGGGTTTTATCAGCGTGATATTGTACAGATTTTGGTGATGGAAACAACTATTATTGATATGGACAGTTAGATATACGTAAACTATTCCATTGAGTTGTGAGAGATACTGATCGTGGATCGATTATAGCTGGTGTACCAATAAAGATTAAGGACCATCGTACAACTTTTTAATCGTCATAGTATAATGAGACTCTTGAAAAATGCAAACCTACGACTACGCTTGGGATCGAATCAAAGATAACGAGGTTTCACGAATATCACTTACAAATTAAACTTATCTCTCAAAATACTTCAATATCCAGACAAACCTATCAACTATCAATGAGGCTCAATAGTACTTTCATGCAGAGTCAGCCCAACAACAAGTAGACAGTGGATATTGTTGTGAATTTTTAGACTAGATATGAATTAACTACCTAATACTTAGATGGATTCTTTCCAACTATTTTATTATTTTGTTTTTGACAAAAAAAATTCATGTTTTTCTTACTCAACAATGTCTAAGATAGACAAGAAATTTACTAACAGTTATGCAAATGGATTTTACATGACATACACACTAGGTACATATAAGCATACATATAGAGAGACATACTCTGAGAGAACCATGATGTTCAAAAGCTTATTTTCGCTGTTAATAATAATAATAATAATAATAATAACGAAGTAAGTATTGATTTGCATACATACACATTCCTGTGACAATCATGACATCAGTATTAATAACATAGTTTGTAAGTGAAAAAATAATCAAGGTAATTAATGATCAATTTCGCAGATAGATACACAGTAAAATTGTCCTAATTAACTGACAACACTATGATAAAAATAGTATGCACATTGGTTTACTCTCTCCCTCTTTTATTGTCCTCTCTCCCCTTCACACACACACACATATGACAAAATCAGTTATTTGGAGACACTGGGAATGACAACATGAATTGATTGGAAATCGATTACATTATTATGATGTCTACTATTATTGGTAAACGTGTGAGTTATCTCATTGTTGATATTAAGGATTGGAATTAGTGATTAATCTTTTTTTAAATTAAAAGGAGCACTGGGTTCGAAACTCAACGTAAATATCAACAATTCTAGGATATAGTACACACATCCAGTTGATGAGTACCACAGCAAGACGAAACACGTATCCTAGATTACATTACTAGACATAATTTAACAATTCTAAATACTTTATTATTGTGGTTGTGGGAATTGTCGGATGTTATCGAGATTATGTTGTGCTGTAAATAGTATTAATGATACGCAAGCTTTTCATATAAGAGGTTAAAAAAGGAGAAAGGAGCTTTCACTAACTAACTGAACCGGAGTGCATGTGAACTCATTCATAAATCCATGTCTGTCTGTTAGAAAACTAAGGTATCAATAGTGTATTTCTCCTTTGTCCGATTTCTAGTAGACTCACAATATATCACAATTAATAGGATAAGTAGTGAATTTTTTGATGTCATTATAAATATGGTTGTAAGTGGTAAGCTTGAAATGGTCAAGAATGAGGAGAATCCGTTCTCCCCGTCGAAATGCTTTCACATGGCCACGCGTATACAGCCACTGACATGAAAGTCCTACTCACTACCTTCTCGATACGGCAGTGTTGTTTACGAAATTGAGAGGATGAGAAGCGAATGTCTGGCACTTTAACCGGGTTGGTGGACACAGAGTCCACCTAGGGGAGTTGGATAACTCTCATTCCAAACCAATGATGCACAAGGGCTCCAGGATCCTGACAGAACAAATGGCATATGAACCCGATGGTTGGTCACTGGCTACCATGGAACTGAATCTTCTAATGTTGCTCCGATGCCTTGTGAGTTAAACATGTAGGTCAAAGGCTCGGGGAGTGGCCCTCTAAAAAAACCACCTGCTTCGGTTTGGGCACCCAGGCAGTATCTCAGCCATCACACAAATCGAATGAAGTATGGAGCATGTATATTTGTTGAATCCTTGTACAAATGTTTATGTGTTTAAATAAACAAATAAATATTATTTTTATCAGTCTAGGGTTTTGGAGATCGTTGAGTTTAAATTGATATCATGAATGTCAGACCACTACTGGAAACCTAGAAATGCTGGATAGACGTTTCGTCCTGGTGTAGGACTCCTCAGCGGTGCGCACCCAGGGTCTCGCGCGTGAACATTTAACCTCTAGACCACTGAGCCGGCATCCAACAGTGTTAATGTCTAACTTCAACCAATCCACGATGTTGTGCGACCATCCACTATTGCCCTCAGTGAGTAACTGCCTCTACAACAGACACGGTTGAACTCCACTAGCCACAGTTTCTCACTGGAACTCCAGGAAATCCATCTTGAAGTCAGTCACTAGTGAACACATAAGAAGTCCCATACAAGGACGAAACAGCCGTCCAGTGTTTTCAATGGCGGTCTAACATTCATCCATTCATAATATCAATTTAAATATTATTTTATCAAACTATAAACCACCCAATTCATACATAGATTTACGCTCTTGAAATATATATTTTGGATAGAATAAGATGTAAGCGTATTAGCATGTATACAGACAAAGTACAGAAGATAATTCACCGTTGTATAGACTTATATATATATATATATATATATATATATATATATATATATATATATAGTAACGTCTATGAAAGTCCAGAAGAAACTGTTGAAATGTTGTATGCTGTGATATCTATAATGTATTAAACCTTTAATATTGAATAATAGCGATTTGTAATGTTATTAGAAAAAAAGCTGAACCATTTATTAACCCATTAATATAATGACAAAAACAAATCGTGAATTAACGATAAACACACACATATATACAAGTGGTCGATTTCAATCATTGATATCAAAATCAGATCAGTATGAATAGAAGAGTAGAGGAAGTTAGTGATGGAAACAACTTTGACAGATTTTAGTAATGATGGTGTGTAAGTATGTTGCCTGGAGAAAGACTTCAGTGAGACTATAATTTATAGATGACTTTTGAGCGATACTAAAGTGACCTTGGGAAAATTCACCAACTTACTAGGGTTAAAAGAGAGTTATAAATGTCTGAGGATTTAAAGTTAAAAAATAGGGTTAGGAATTACAGTTAAAGTTTTCATCATGAACTGACATTAGCTATAATGTCAAAATGCTATTTAATCATTAAGGTGAAAAATTTCGCGCTAAAATCCTAGACTTGGTATCTTCAATTTTATGAGTTCATCTATAAATTATAGATTCATCAACTTTTTGATTTTGATTATACGAATGATATTGTCTAACTGTGAGACGATACCCAAGCCATACAATACACACTTGATCAGTTGATACTCAGTGTTCGTAGGTATAGTATCTGCTTTCCAGCTATTAATTACAAAGTACTTTTGAAAGACTGGCAGTAGCCTGTACCTGCACCGACCCTTGCTAGTGAGCAGGTAGAAGTAG